GGGGGGGGGGGTGCTCTAGAGCGGGAGCCTTGAGCACCCACAAACTCTCACCACAGAGACCCTTCCACACTGACTGGTGGAGACTAGAGCTGGACACAACGTGTTCTGGGAGTTGGAGCTGGACAAGGGGAAGTGTGGCCTTTAGGGTTTGGCCTGGCACCACAATACCCAGTGACGCTAATGGGACTCTCGGGCAACGTGCACAAGGCCGTCGGCCATTCACGGCGAGTCCATGAGGAGAAACTCGGGAAAGGCTGGGGCCCCATGGGTGCAGGCCGGGGCTGGAGAGATGGTTTCATCTCTGTCACGTGTCACGGTGGCTGACCCGTGTTCTAGGTCCGTCTCCAGCCTCGAAAGGATCACGTGCAGTCACTGATTTGTGAGGTCTCACCATGGACAGAGACAAAAGGCTCTAACCCTGCCCGTGAGCCCTGACTCCTCTCCAGGGTCCCTACGCCAGCCACTGCGGTCGACACTGTATCATTTTATTCAGCTCCCTAACCGTCCGCGTCCCACAGGCCTCGGGGTGCCCTTGTCACACCCTGTAGGTCAAGGGCAAGACACCGTCTCTCGCTGGGGCTACCCTCAGTCCCCCAGGCTCATCTCTGAGGACTGGGACTCCGCCTAACGCGGACGCCTTCCTGCACCCGACGCACGGCCACCGCTTTCTTCCTCTCGTGGGGCCTTAAACCCTGGAGCTCTGTGCCCTCACCAAAGCCACACTAGAGCTGTCACGGGCAGACCTGGCTGAGTCAGCACCTACGCCAGCCGGGCACTGCCCCAGCTGCCCGGAGGAACGTTTGTTTCCAAGCAGGTTGGAAGGCGCTGGCCTTCCTAACGGCAGGAGCCGTCTGTCAGATGCCGAAACGGTTTCTAACATTTCCTTCAATTCGGGTTCTGTTTGAGAGATGTAGTCATTTGTTCTCGAAATACCCACGTCTCCCTGTGATGGGCTGGCCTGTGTCTTCCAAAGACCGACCCGCCGAGTCTGTTTCCCACGGGGCCCTCTTCCACCGAAAATGAATTTGTACCGAAAGGGGTCGCACACACGCACCACCTGGAGGCCGAGAGCCGTTTTTCGGTCAGTGGTCAAAGGCCTCAGAGAAAGCAGGGCGCGAGCTCCGGGAGCCCCGAGTGTGCGCCGACCTTAGTAAACACCCTCTGCTGCTCCTTCACGCCCGACGTGTTCCCAGCCCGCTGCCGATTAGCCCCCGAGCGGCTCCACGCGGAGCCGGAACCTGCGCGAGCGAAGGCTGAGTCGTCACTCGGTCGCCACCGCCGTTTTCCTTCCTCTCCTGTCCCCGCGTCCTCACGGGAACCGAGAAAGTGCCGCCTTCTTGCCCGCGCTCTGCTTCTAAGCTACTTTCCACAACTTAACTTCAGCCAGCTCTCCTCCTATTTACAAACTCGACTNCCTGTCCCCGCGTCCTCACGGGAACCGAGAAAGTGCCGCCTTCTTGCCCGCGCTCTGCTTCTAAGCTACTTTCCACAACTTAACTTCAGCTAGCTCTCCTCCTATTTACAAACCCGACTTTTCAGTGAGGACCAGCGTCGTGACTAAGAGCCAGTATAATCCGGTGAAATCACAGAAAGTTTTTCCCAAATTAGGAAAGACACACGTGCCCTGGCCGGGGTGGCTGGCTGGTCGCCCCCTGTGGCGAGTGTGGCATGCTCCACAGAAGCGCACCCGCCAAACCTGAAGCCCGCCTGGGAACAGACCTGGTTTGTCAGAAGCCGCGTCCGACACACCTGTGACGTGTCCTGCTCGTGAGCATGGGCCACCACCGGCCACACAGGACACTAGTGAGCCCACAGCCTCCCAGCGCCCACACCAGCCCGCCTGAGGGGATGTGGTTCTCGGCTCCGTCAATGACAGTGTGCACAGAACCCCAAAAGCGGAGGCCTGGGAAAGGGCCCTGAAGTGTCCTCGGAGCCAACGCCACGCCTTGGCTCACGCCTGTGTCTGCGCTCAGCCCCCGAGGCGGCCCTGCGTGGCCGGTACTCACTCGTTGCCCCAGTCGAGCCGGGCAGTGATGTGGCGTTTGACGTCCTTCATCCGGTCGTGGGTCAGGTGGCCCACCAGGACCTGGCGCCGCAAGTCCAGGATCTCATTCATGATGTGCCACAGCCGGTGGAAGAGGTCGCCTTCGTTTCTCTAGGAAACAGGCAGACGGGCAGACTCAGTCGTCGGTCCCAACTGAGCCACACGCGAGACCGCGAGGAGAGGGAGGGGCGCGTCCTATGTGTTTGCCTCTCTGGGGACAGGTTATTCCTTAACAGACTCTCCCTTCGTGTCTGCAAACACATTTGTGGCTCTGTCCCGTCACTTCTCGGACTGTCCAGCTCAGACAGTGTCCATGTCCCCCCTGGGCCTCCCCAGCGGAGCCTGACCTGGTCTCTGGGCTCTACCTCCTCTGCCTCCCTCTCTACCTCAAACCCTCCTTTCTCCAGCTCTCTCCAAATCCTACTGCCCTGCAAGGCTCCGCCTCCACCAGGAAGCCCTCCCTGACCTCTCTCGCTCCCATTTCTTTTCCCCCTTCTGGAAACCAAGGCTGCATGCCATGAAAGCCAACTCAGTGAAAGCATTATCTGCCAGTTATTTCTGCACGTCGGTCTTCACGCATCATTGGAATTCCCATCAGAAGCTGGGCACCCGTAGGGCTCTCCAACCCTTTCACCAACAGATTTTCACTGCTATTGTCTGGTCAGTATTTAGACCTTTAAAAAAAATGGTGTTTTCTTTCCCACTTGTTAAACATTTGTGTAGAGTCAAGATGTTCTGTGAAATTCTCAAGCAAGGAGTGAAAAGGTGAGTTAAGCTCCTGCCTTCCAATCCTGGTTTTGTCACTTTCTGGTTTTATAGGGGTTGAGCATGAGTTTTGTCATCTGTGAGACAGAGACAGTGCTCCCTTCCTGCGGGGTTGTTTGTGGATTCGAGATAATGCTGGTGACGAGAGCCGGATACGCAGCGATGAAGGGAGTAGACTCGGGAGCCGAACTACCTCGATCTCCCTTCCACATGGGCCATTCCTGGCTGAAACCCCTTTAGCAACCTCTGAACCTCTCCACGCACTGAGCATGGCCCGGGACTGAGGGTGCCTCCGGTGAGGTTTGAGAGTGAGACCCCCTGGCAGACACGCACGCCCGGCCGCAAGGCCCGCGCTCAGGAAGGACGGCGGCTGCCCCTCCCGCAGCTTCCTGCGGTTATCTCACTGACCATTATTAAGTGACATTTTCAAGGACGTTACTCGGGCCTCTGCCGGTGTCATCAAGTAGAGCAGCTAGCGTCTCTCAAGCGTTTACCACGAGCTTAGACGCTCCGTGTGCTCTCGAGCGGCTCTCATGCGCAGCTTAGATTCAGGAGATAAATTGCCCTCACCTAGCCTCTTCCAGCAGAGAATCTGGACGCCTTAAAATGTTGAAAAACAGCAAGGGCAGGGCCCCATTACCCTCGAGCACTGTAACCTTCAACCAGAACGTTCGCCATGAAACGTCTTCATCAGGACGAGAGAACCCAAAAGGTCCAACACGGCCAATCCAGCCTCGCTCTCGAGGTCAAAAACCTGGGCTCTCCAGGATAAACCTTGTATCTGTTCCCAATATAAGTGACCACCAGTCCAGCTTCCAGGGAAATTTTACAGTAATTCTGTCTCCCTTGCGCAGCATACTGGGCGGTGGGGAGGTTACTACGAGAGCTTACAACACACAGATTTTCAAGCCAGTCTAGTGCGTCCCCAAAATAGATGCTCCAGACCTCAAAAGCAGGTAAAAATAGCTAGAAAAGGCAGAACCAAGAGGAAATTCAACCTTGTTCCCCACATAAAAGGGAAAGTCCAGGAATGGATAACACTGTGGTTATTTTTATAAATCTCATGTTGGGCATTTAGGAAGCAGGAACTTGAGCATTTCAAATACTTTCATTTTCCATGTTAGTGTCATGCATGACGCTATTTTAAGTAAATAATGCTTGGATTTTAGATTCTTTCATATATATATCTTTTTAACCTTGAAGGAGAGCTGGGTTTCCTTCAGTGGCCCAGCACAGAGCCTGGGGGTCAGGTGCCTCAACTTTACCTTTTCCAGATTCCAGGAAAGCTGAGACTCAGTATTTCATCTAAGATCATCCTATGGATTTTACTACTGCGTCCTAAAGCCACAGGGCCTGGCCAGATTAATCCCAAGTCAAAAGGCTTTTTCTTAGTGGCTTTTTAAAATTCTTTCATCTCAGTGAAATGTCCAATTGTGTTTTCTATGAAACAAATAATAAAAATTGTCATTCTGCCCGGCTGGTGTGGTTCAGTGGTTGAGTGTCGACCCATGAACCAGGACGTCCCCGGTTCGACTCCCAGTCAGGGCACAATCCCCAGTAGGGGGCGTGCAGGAGACAGCCGACTGGTGTTTCTCTCTCATCGATGTTTCTCTCTCTCCCTCTCCCTTCCTCTCTCTGAAATCAATAAAAACATATTAAACATTATTTTAAAAAACATCCTTCTGTGCCCATGTCCCTCACTGACTTGGACGGACTCTTCGCAGGCTTTCTAATCGTTTTCTCAGGATAAGGTCACCTTGGTATTTTGAATATATCTCTGCAGATGACTAAGCTGTTCTGTATGTATTTTTGAAAATTTAAAAAAAAAAAATTGTTTTCATCTGCACCCCCAAAGTTCTGCATGCACAGGGGTTCCCCCCGAGGGCTGTATCCACGTCGGAGCCCCGGCTCAGCCACTTCCCAACGAGGCAGCTGAGAGCCGGACTTCGCTCTCTGCTCACGCTCCTGGTCGGCGAGCTGGGGACAATCGAGGTCATTACTTTCTCCAGCGGACGTAAGGAATAAGTGAGGTGCTGCCTACGGGGTAATCCCCACAGGGTCTGCACCCCAGGTGCTCCATCAATGCACCTAGTTATGAAAAGTAAATAAGTACATATATTTAGACCCCCAAAACAGGGACCCTCTCCCCTTTAATTCAGGAAACATCCCTTTTTCTGGTATATTTAGAAAATCCTCACGGATTCTGGCTAAGCGGACTATCACCTTCAGTACACTTGAATCAACTATAGCAAATGAGAGTATAATAAAATGCCGCCAACGTGCAAATTACGTTGAAAATAAGTTTATTTCTCCCTTAAAATTTAACATTTTCCGAAAGCTTGGCACTAGTTCCATGTAAGACATCCTATTTGATGAGATGTCAGAAAAATTATCTTTTATGGTCCTACGGCAACGAAAAGAACATATCAGACCCGTGCTGGGTGCACACAGGGACCCCAAGAAGACCTCAGCTCTGTGTCCCGATTCCCGGGGGAGTGCTAGGGGCTTACAGCAGATGCTCAGGCGTGAGCCAGCGCTTCCCCTCGTTCAGACATTCCTTAAAACAATTCTCCAGCCCCAAACATTGTGCGACTGGACAGCGACCTACCACATAGAGCTGTTTCCACATGGTGCCCCAGTCCCTCAGCGTCGATGTCATCTCTGTGATGACCGAGTCTTCGGTAGGAATCACCATTTCAAACTGTCTGTGAAATGAAAAAAGCAGAAGAGAACATATGTGCAGATGTCACGGGCAAGTGCTTTCTCTGGAACACTCTACAGCTACGTGGGGGCAGGGCTCTGCGGACAGTGGCCGGCCGGGCTCCACACGGCGCGGGGAACGCCGCGGGGGTCACGGCGCTACGGTCCCCAGTGCGCGGCCACGGCCCCGGTCGCGTTTGAGGAGCGTGGAGAGAGAGCAGTGGCATTGGAGGAGTCCTGCTCCGGCCACAGCGGGACCACGGTGAGCAGCTCACTGACCCCTCCGGGCCCCGAGGCCCTGGCCTGTAACCCTGGGGGCGCTTGCTTTCCGAGCCCTGCGGCCCCTCGGCTCCAAGGCAGGGACGGACTCAGTGCGATGCTCAGGAGCTGATGGCTGCCAGCAGCCAGGCTCCCCCAGGGTAATAAATAACCAGACCCGGGTACTGACTGAACAGCCACCTGACGTCACCACCGCTTCGTTTTTATTGCTGGTAAGCGGGGCCGTGATACTGGTTGGTTTTCACTATCAGTAATGTTTCCAAGCATTGCAAACCTCACGAAGGGCTGGAGCCATTACGGACATTCAAACGCGTATCGTAAACCGTCCCTCCCTCTGGTTCGGGCACTATAACTGCCCCATTTCTTCTCTAGAAATCAGAGACTATGCTTGGAGAGTATCCAGCCCGATGCATAGAGACAGAAGGACCAGGCGACTTCACTTCTTCTCTGCACACACAATAACCTTTCCACAGTCCCTCCGTTCCCAGGCGGGTTAAAATGGGTAAGTGGCCATAGCTGCTGCCTCTCAAAAGAATGCCACCGACTCCAGTGACGGGGGATCTTTACTCGCGCTCTTCTCAAGGGCAGTGTCCACCGTGTAGAAGGAAACGGCGCAGTGGGTGCTGTCGGGGTGATCAAGAGGAAGCGACTTCTCGGCGCGAGGCTCATCGACGCCCCGCTGCGCCTTTCTGACGCTGTGCCCGACGTGTAACTCCCTTTGCAAAGCCTTCTCGCGGCAAGCACGGAGCTGGGATCGCGCCTCGGTTTCTCCACCCCCGAGCCTCAGGGCCTGGCTTCCTGCTGTTGCTAAAATACTCGCCCGGGAGCAGTTCCCTTCCTCCCAGAGCTGAGCCCCCGCTGGACACGGGGAGCCGGGACTCCACGCTAGAAACAAAGTAAACGGCAGGCGTGAACCGTGTCACGTACGGACCCTCCCGCCAAGCCTCCAGGCGGCCTTTTCAAAAGGCAGTGCGCGCATCTTGTTTCCCAAGTGGCTGCTGCGAGTTACACGATGAATACTGGAGATGGGGCGGACAGGAGGACTGGCGGCCAGGTCAGGGAGAGAGCGACAAACGTCCAGGAAAACCCTCAGCCTCCTGGACGTTCTGACCACACAGGCGCGGCCTCGCTGCTCGCACACAGGGGCCCGTCAGTCCCGGGCCCTCGGCCGACTCGGAGGGATTCAGTCTGCGGGAAGCTGACCTGGGCCTGTTCAACCGAAATGTCCATCTTCAGGAGCGCACCGTGGCCATCCTGGGCGAGCTGTTCCTCACACCCACCCGCCATCGGTCCGTCGCGAGCAGCTGCCCCTGAAACTCCGTTCCGCAGGCGCTTCGCAGCTGGTTCGCCCCGGGGGGCCCCGCGGGCGGCTGATCCCCCGAAAATGAGGCAGGTGACCTCAGGGCCCCAGAGCGGTTCCTCTCGGGGAAGCAGTCGCCCGGGGAGACTGGTTCCTCAATGTTTTCAGGCTAAAGTTTTGCTTCCTGTGAACAGTCCTAGAATTGAATCTAGGGTTTCGATTCCAACAATTTTATTTTTATATTTTTTTTTAGAAAATGAACTTTGGTTCCACCGCCAAGGTCTGTCGTATAATGTCCATCCTGCCGTACGTCGTGCGGGGAACCCACCGCCGAGTCCTACGCTGAACCCAGCTTTGAGTCACCTTTGTCTACAGTTAACCTTCCTCGGGGCTCAGGGGACAGGGACAGAGAGGAGACAGTTACCAACCAGGACAGAGAAAATAAGTAGCCCGGGCCGATGCGGCTTCGTGGTTAGAGCGTCGGCCCACGGAATGAAGGGTCACCCGCGGGTTCGGTTCCCAGTCAAGGGCACGTAGCTGGGCTGCACTTTGATCCCTGGCGCCCGTCGGGGCGCGTGCCAGAGACAACCAATCGTGTCTCTCACATCGATGTCTCTCTCTCTCTCTCTCTCCCCTCCCTTCTTCCACCCTCTAAAAATCAGTGGAAAAAATATCCTTGAGTGAGAATTAACAATGAAAAAGTAAAAGGCGGCACGTATTTGAATGAAGACTATGTCCCGCCCGAATGTGCTTCCAGAGGCAGGGCTTCCGCTGGGCTCAGCCGTGATCACCTTTGTTGGGACCTCTCCTGTCTGCTCCTCGGTCAGGGTGTGAGACGGGGCCGGGGAGGGCTCTTTGCTCTGGAAAATTGAGGGGGTCCGTGTGGGGTTTGAGACAAAGGTCGCACAGAGGACTGGCTACACAGGTCCGCCGCGGCAGACGCTGTCGGGACCAGGAGGAGGCCGTGGGTTTCCCTGCCGCCCGGCCCGGATCACCAGGGCAGGCCGCGCAGAAGAGAGCGGGCCTGTGGCCGCAGTGTTTTGGGGACGGTCCTCTGGTGGACCTGAGGAGGGCCAGTGTTTTGGGGACGGTCCTCTGGTGGGCCTGAGGAGGGCCAGTGTTTTGGGGACGGTCCTCTGGTGGGCCTGAGGAGGGCCAGTGTTTTGGGGACGGTCCTCTGGTGGACCTGAGGAGGGCCAGTGTTTTGGGGACGGTCCTCTGGTGGACCTGAGGAGGGCCAGTGTTTTGGGGACAGTCCTCTGGTGGACCTGAGGAGGGCCGGGCCCCGTCAAACGCTCCTGGTGGGAGAACGCCCAAAGGACCGATAGCTCTGCCCGACTCACTGCCGGTGGATTACGGCCGCACAGCATTTCTGCAGGAACATTTATGACAGGAGAAGTAGCGGTGGCCATTATGAGCATCAGAATTACGACAGTTTTCAACTACTGTCTTCAGTGATCACTGCTATTAGTACTAATAAAAATGATATTGCTTAAAGTAGCTCAGACATGTAGCATGAGCACCTCCTAGACCCTAAATTTATCCTCACAGGGAACAAAGTATTTACCCCCCAGTCTCTCAGCCGTGTGCAGAAGTTACTCCTCCGAACCAGGACTGGACACCCTGCCTCCGCAGAGCGTGGGTGTAACAATCACCCACTTGAATAGCATCCTTGGAATTCTTTCGGTGAACCTCAAGTTAGAAGATATAATTTACTATGCTCTAAAATGTGCTTTCATAATTCAAAAAAAAAGAAGCTATTTTTGGCTCATTGAGGGAAAATGTAATTTTTTCAGCTGAACCTGTATTATTTCTTTTGTCATAAAATAAAAACTATTCAATGATCCAACGCATACTCCTTGTGACACTGGCAGCTCACGTTTGGGGCCAAACCCACGGCCGCTCACACCGGCCTGCTCGTGTGAGCCACTCAGGAGGCACGTCCCCCGGGCTGATCCTGTGGTATTTTATTGGGACGATCTGGGGTCCCGACAGCTGCCTCGAGTCCTTTTGAAAAGAGACTGGAAAGACTTTTTCAACAAATCCCAGGTAGTCAATGAACTCAAGTGAGAAAAAAAAAATATCCCAGAAATGATGTTCTCCGGAGAAAAATAATGGCTTTGTGAAGCGGTCACACGAGGACGTGGTGTCCTCTCCGATCTGGAAAGACAGCGAGGCCCAGCTGCTCCCAGTCGGCGGCGAACCCGGGAAAGTCCTGGGCCCCGAGGCGGGGCTCGGCCTCGGCCGGTCTGGCCGCCGAGCCTCCCCACAGCGGAAACCCCCGAGCCCCGGCCCTGCGTGGGCTCAGGCTGCCCGGGTCTGCGCGTGGCGAGAAGCCTGCCCTGCGCCCCGGGTGCCACCGCGGCCCCGCGCTCAGTCACCTCCAGCTTCACCAAGGCTGACAACGCACCAGCGTCTACCGTTCCCGGGTCGGGACAATCACCCAGGCGGCCGGCTCTCGGCAGGAGCAGTGGCTCTGGGAAGATCCCCCCACTACCAATAAAACTCACTCCTTACCCTTTGTTCTTGACAAAGGCGTTTTTCAAGTGAACGTAGCTGGAAGGAAAGATACCCTGGAAGACAGAAGGCGAAGGTTAGGGTGCTGGCGGCCGCTAAGGGGGGGTTCCCAGGCCACAACCACGGCAGGGTCGGGCGGGGGAAACAGCGTCCCGACCACACGCCCGGGGCCCCGTCGGTCGTCGCTTACACTCATCCCTTCTCTACTCGGCCCTGGGTTACACATTTAAGATTCCCTAAAACAAATGTAACCAAAAAATTAGGTCTCACTCAAAAATATATTTTTATAGGACAGGATTTTTTAAAAATTTTAGGAATTCTGCTTAGAAGTTCTGTCATATTGAATTTTTTAAAAATATGACATGGTTTTGAAAAAAAAGGTTATTGTTTTTTTGTTTGTTTGAGGTGTTCTTTCTTTGCCCCAAAACATTTGTGTGTGTATCTTAAAATATACACTAAAAAAATACCAACTGGAGTTTGGAGACCATGCGTGTATGACGTGTCACGTTAGAGCTGTGACGGGAACACGGCGGAGATTAATCACCAGGCCGCCCCTGCGACGGAACAGAAATTAAACAAAAGGAGCCGCGCTGGCCTAGAGCTTTCATTGTAGGGAAAAGACGGGACAAGAAAATTGGTCCTTTGTTCTAAATGGGAAATGGAGAGATGCAACATTAAAAAAAAATGAGCATCAATTTTATTGTCCATTAAATGAGAATATCCTCTGAATGATTTTGATGTGTAGTCAAATGACAAATTCAATTAAATATTTAGGAAAGCAAGTGTCATTTGAATACATTATCACCTCTGTGGATCCAAGGATAACATAAAATTTAATAAGCAAATTCTGTATACGTAGCTGTAGGAAAGAGATAGAAAGGTTCGAAAATACTTTTCTTTCCTTCAAAATTTAAATTTGCCTCAATATGGTAAGATTAACAGAGTAATTATCATTAATAAGAAAAAAGTCAGAATTGTAGGTTAGAAGAATGCCGGAAATAACAGAAGCCTAATAGATTTTTTTTCCTCAAACGGGTTCTAAATGGATAATTAAACACTGAAGCTACGTTTGCATGTGAGCAGCAGATGTCCAAAAATAACTTTAAATGAGGGGCAAGTTTTAAAAAAAAATTAAACCTGTCTACTCTTTGGTCCCTTGGGCTCTCCTTTAGAATATCCAAAAATAAATGAAATAAAGTAATTAAACATAGTTGTATCCTCCAGAAAAAGGGTAAAAGGCAGATAGACGGGCAAAAGAGAAATTACGCAATTTCTTGTCTACAATCCTAATGAAGTCAGAATTCAACCAAAAAAAAAAGGAACGTGACATATAAAAAATATTAGAGAATGTGGGAAGTAGGGGTGAAAGCTGGGGAGATGAAAATAAATATGAAAAATGCAGAGATAGGTAAGGATTATTGTCAAAACCCTAAACTGTACTAACGAAGGGTTGAACAAAAATCATATTACTTCCCACTATAATTCCTGAAGATTTCTACAAATATACAGGCGAGTCTTAGCTTCTGTCTGGAGCAGTAGAGAGATGAGCCATCTACGACCCGGTTTCCCCAAAACCCAAAGGAACTCTTCACGCACCGCTCGGATCAGGCAGGTTCCCCAACCGATCTTCACAGATGATACCGTGGAAAACGAACGGATTAAATACCTCGAGTTAATATTTCTTTTCGAATACGTGCCTCCCTGCCTGAACTTTAATTTTGCCCTTTGCAAAACTCACACTTCAAAAAGATTTTGTTTATAACTAATGAGCTTATTAAGGTCTTCTCGGTACAAATTTCCAGAGCTACGGGGGATTATCATCCGAGCGGCGCATCTTAACTATAAACCGACTTCAAAGGAATTTCCAAAATTATGAAAATCCTCGCTGCCACTTGGCGTCTCAACGAAGAGTCCCAACTGTAATTGCAATTGTGTAACGAAATAAAGTAAAATCACCGACTCTTTTCTAAAATCCCATAATTGTGTTAGAAGTAATAGGGTTTTTTACCTTGATATTTGGGTTTTTTAAGGCAAATCCTCTGTACCAGCCTGTGAAGAAATAATCAGAGTCACGTTTAAATAAACCACTGTGGTACGTTAAAGAAAAGAAATGACAGATCTCTCTGGTCTTTGCTGTGTGCTCGGGGAAATTCAAGGATCGGTACAAGATTTAACAGATTTCCAAATTCCCTTTGCCCGAAGCCACAGCCCAGAAGATGCCACCAAAGGACAGTGCTGGGCCCACAGTCATGCAGCGAGTGGGCACGTCCTCGGGCCACTGTCCCGGGGTAGTGACGGCCCGATGGCGCGGGAGGAGTGAGTCCAGCACGGGAAATACCGTCAATGCTACCGTAGTAACTGCCCGGGCCACACTTCTGTAAAGTATGTGGCTGTCTCACCCCTGTGCTGTCCCTGAACCCAACACAAATAAAATTAAAAAGAAGAGTAAAGCCAGGCCTCACCCACTACGAGAATTAGCGGGCACTCTTCAATCAATAACGGAGCTTGATAGGCTAGAATATTACGGTATCATCAATCCCGAATAGGGACAACGGGATACAAGGAGAATGAAGCCCTGGTTTGGGTGGGGCTCAGTGGTTAGAGCGTCGGCCTGAGCACCAAAGGGTCCCAGGTCCACGTCCCGGTCAAGGGCATGTACCTGGGTTGCAGGTTCGATCCCCAGCCCCAGTCAGGGCACATGGGGGGGCAATCAATGGATGTGTGTCTCTCTCTCATTGATGTTTCTCTCCCCCCCCCACTCTGTCTAAAAATTAATGGGGTGAGGTGGGGTGGGGGTGGGGGAATGGTTCACTGGGACTCCTGGAAAACTTCGGGGTTCACAGCGGTGTGGACAGAGTGTAGACACCGTGTGAACCTCAGTCACCACGGGCCACTCACCATCACACTTCTCCAGGATCTGAACGGTGTCTCCAATTTCCAGCGACAGGCCATACGGGACGGTGCCTCGAAAACTGGCAATAACTGCAAGAAATGACAGAAGAGATGAAGACCATCACACCCGGATGGGCACTCACAGCGCTCACTGTTCACTATCGCGAGCAGGAAAAAGGAACGGGGACGGGGTACACGTTGCTGGCGAGGATCCACTGTCATATTTCAACTTTATATACTTTTGAAGAGTCGATCTTTAAGTGTATATACTTTGCCAATACCTCGGTCGAATAAACATGAATTTCAAGGATGTGGAATTACTAAATGGCCACGCCCCGCCTGTCCGCTCCCCCGGGGGAGAGTCTCCACAGATACACGCTCAAAGGTCACAGAGAAATGCATTTCTCACTCGTTGCTGAGCGGGGTCCCCCCTTCTCCCGTATCGGTGAAGGAGGCGTCTTCTTAGACTGTAAGCTCAAGAGATGGGCCTGCGCCTATTTGCTCTCTACTCTGTCGCCAGGACCTAGCCCAGCGGCCTCTGTGCAGTGACCCACGGTGACACTTTATTTCGCAATGACCGGACCCCTCCCCCAGGACTAAGCACACAGCCACCCGGCCCACGCGCCTGGGACGGGCGGGGAGGGGGCACACACGGCACTGCCGCCAGTTACTGATTGGCTGGCTTCCGAAAGCTCTGCGGGGCTGGACGGCCCGGGATGTGAAGGCCGAGAGAAAGCGTGTGTCGCTCAGTGGAGCCCAGGCGACTGCAGGGCTCTTTAGAGAAGGAACACAGCGACCCTCCCAGGGACGGCGGTGCTCGACTCATCAAGGAGGCGAGACCGGGGAAATAGCAAAACTGCGCCTCCGGGCACGAAACGAGGAGGGCGGCCGTTCCACACCGTGCACGCTGAAACCCACCCGCAGCTCACATCAAAGGAAAATGACAGGGAACGCGCCGGGTGCCTGCCTTCAAAGGCCAACACGCTGGAAGCGAACTTGAGAATTCTTTTCAGAGAGATGCAGCTACAACCCCAGGCCCCCAGCAAAGGGTGGCGGCTGCCGCGAGCGTGCTGGAGAAAACTGCTGGAAACGCGCGTCCGTCAGGACTAAAAACGTGCCAGGGAGCGACGGGCTCTTAGAGACGGTAAAGCCCCTTGAGACCGGTAAACAAAATCAACAGCAGAAACCGAAACGCGAGACAGAAAACAGAACCCCGAGCCCACGGGATGGATGCGAACAGGCACACGGCAGCCCCGGCAGGCCACGCGACAAGCAGGACTCGCGAGGCCCCGTTCCAGCTCCAACCGTGGGCGGCCTGGCACCGACGGGCTCGACGTCTGCGTGCCCCACAGGTCCCCGCAGAACTTCCAGAGACCTCTTCGTACCAGCGGCTGACGATTTAGAAATCTCATAAAGCTGGTAATTTAGAACCAACGACTGGATCCTCAAGCTATCGCCTAACAGCCCACTTAGTTAAGCAGCCAGAGTAATAATTTCACCTGCCATGAGAATGACGGATGCGGGGTTCATGGTAGAGGAGACGGACTACGGGGGAGGTGGAGAGACACCGGCAAATGCGGGCAGAGGCCGGGATTAAGCCGACTCCTTCCAAACACCCTGTTTCTCATGGTGGTCTCCCAGGGAACCCCAGCCCAGGAGGGCCACCACCGCACCTCAACTGAGACACAACCCGGTGACCCACCCACACCGCTCAGCGCCCCCTACAGACTGTAATTAGGGGGACACCCCCCTAGTCCTCCATCCCTCCCCTTCTCCCAGGGGACCACGGTCACATGAGGTTCACCTCTCTCTTTCCACCCCGCTCCCACCCCAACCCCCAGGGCAGACAGCAGCCACCGGACCATGGGAGCTGAGGGAAGGGAGCCCCGTCGGCCACCCCTCAGCCTCCGCACAGCGTGAGGACTGCAAGGGCCTCGTGGGAACCATCGCATCCCTACCATCCACACGGCATCTGTGGCCTGGTGTTGGTGGGGCTTATGCTTCCCAAGAAGTTCATCTCACCCTGGAACCCCCCACTTTGTAAACTCTCTGTGAAGCTTTCTCTTTTCCCTCAATGGCTATTTCTAAAGTAAAAGATATTTAGAGGAAAACAATGCTGCCAGGTTCTCTTTGAGATTTTAATGGTAAGTTAAGGTTAAACTCGTGCAACTATCACAGCCCGATGAGAGAGCCAGGATAAAAATGAGCTTTACCGACTCGGCACTTATCAATTATAGGTCCGCTTCTAAACCCGTCCTCGGGGTTTCTCAAGGGCGCCGGTTCCCCTGGGGATCGGGCCCTCTGCTCGGCCCCACTTCCGATTTCATAAGCTAATGAAGCAACCGCTTCCTGGGCCTTCTCACTGTAAATTTCAGTAACTATTGGTCTCAGATGTTGTCTACAGTCATGGAAATCTGGATTCTTAGCTAGCACACTGCTGCACTAGTTAAAAGAAACTTTTAAAAATTATTTTTATTTTTAAAATGTTTTTACTGATTTCAGAGAGAGGAAGGGAGAGGGAGAGAGAGAAACATCAGAGATGAGAGAGAGTCGTTGATCCGATGCCTCCTGCATGCCCCCTACACATCGAGCCCGCAACCCGGGCATGTGCCCTGACCCGGAATCGAACCGTGACCCCCTGGATCACAGGCCAACGCTGAACCACCGAGCCAAGCTGGCAGGGCTCACACACCTCATTTTAAAAACAGATTTTAAATCGCTGTGCTTGACTAGGGTTAAACATCTTTGTAAATATTTATTCTTTCCCCTCTTACGATGAAACTTGCCAAACAAATTAGGTAAGATTTCCAAAATATCTTCAAAAACAGACAACAGCTCTGCGGTTAGAGCCCAAACCAGCCACTTATTTCACAATAAGGTAATTAGGGACAATCCATCCACTGCAGTTCTTTGGTGTGAATGATCATTTTGCACTTGTTTTTATTTTTCCGAGCACCACGGGGGGTGACTCAGGCTGTTCGGGATGGGAACGCCTTCGGGGCTTATTCACAAAGCGGTGCCTCCAACCCTCCCTGGCCGGCGAGCGGAATAACTGGCGCCCAGGACGATCAGGTCAGAGACAGGACTTTCAAACTGCACAGACAATTTTATTCTGGGGAGAGAATCTCAAACTCCCCAAAACAACTTCCACACACAAAACTTACATTGAAGGCGGAATGCTTTCTCCTGCAGGCGAGTGGGAATTAATATAACTCCGCCTAAACACAAAGGTGAATTAGGAGCTGACATTCCCAACCCGCCCTAGAAGTTACACGCATGAGAGGGACACATAAGAAGATACGGCTGTTTCTTCTTGTATTAATAACTATTGTTTGTTTGTTTAGAAAAGCAAGGAAGCGTTTATTGGCCGCAGCAAACACACACTCAGGACAGTGACAGTGACAGAGACAAGGAAGGTGACAGAAGAGGCAGCCGGACAGCCGGGGCTGGGCTGCTCTGGCCACGGGGGAGTCAGAGGAAAGGGGGCCTTGGGGACAGGTTCGGGGTGAGTCCGGGACGAGCCGTCGCTGCCCACTGCTCCCTGGTTACAAGTCTCCTGGGGACCTCGGAGTTTAGGAGATGCGGGCCTGAGGGGGAGGCTCAGGGAGGCGGGAAGGGCGCGGGCGGGCGCCCGGGAGCGAGAGCAATCGGCGAGGGCTTTTTACAAGCCGCGCATTAGTTGTGCCTTACGACGCATTTGCAATGTACTGAAAGTTTCATTATTAGTAATAAATATAGGTAAATGGAGTGAATTCTTGAAGTTAAGAAGCAATCAATATAAATGAATCATTTAATTATTTCCAAATAAAAATAAATGGATCAAAGAACTGGCTGCAGGCTCTCAAGGGGCCAAAATAATATGCTTTAAAATTCTGAGCTTATCAACTTCTTGTAAAATTCAAATACAAAAATACAAACAAGTCAATAAGTAAATATCAAACAATGTCCCTGCCATCTAACTTTTACTGCTGCGTGAAATATTAAAGATTAAGATACTTCTTGAAAGTTTTTTCAATCACTGGTTTTTAAGGTCTTTTCGTGTACTAAACATTTGCGCATTTTTAACCTTTTCAATAAACTTAGAGTGTCTGGTTTGAGTGCTAGAGAATGAAAGGCAGTTTTTTCTAAAAAAAAGTCCTGCCTGATTCTGTGAGCTCATCCTAAAGGTTATTTTTTGGTTTACCTAAAAGACACATGTAGAACTAAGCTCTCTTAGGCCAGGAAATTCCAATTTATACTTGGGGCTACACAGTTAAAATACCAAAAATCACTGGAAAAAACATTCCGACACCCTGTTTGACGCCGTGTGGCAGGGAGAGGTCTCAGTGCCCCTGGTCACCTCCTCCCCACCGCCTGCTGGGCTCTGACATCTCGGTAAGAAAACAGGGCCTGGTAACCAAGGCCTCCCAAAGCAGGTGAGCTAAACGCACCCCCTTTCCTTCCACAAGTGAGTGTGTTTCTTTCTTTGTCGTAAGATTGAGCCTCGGTGGGTCCCTGATACGCACACAGGAAGGCGACATGGCCATAGTCATGGAGCAAGTGACAATGCTCCATGTGAGGGATGCACCCCCACCCCCACCACCCCTCACACCACCCGCCAGGCACCCACCCCTCACAC